GAATCGTGTGTTCTGAAGAAAGGCAAGATATTGTTTCCCTGCAGTTAGATATTTACTAGCAGCTGAGTTCAAAGACTACACGTCATTTAACTTTACAAATTTCCACTGTCAGTTAGAATTTCACTCTAGCAGGTTTTCAGCCAATCAGAGCAGCTCATTAGCACGTCCAATCATGTAGAACGTCACATGGCTGAGCGGCGTCTGCGTGTGATTCCTGCTGCGCTCGTAACTGAAGCCATATCACTCAACCTGAGCTCACACAGTTAACCTATTTTTGTGTTATCTGACCTGTGTTTGTACATTTGTGTCCGGGTGTGTCATCAAACCTGTTTTTGTGCTGAAGGTCGATTAAATATTCATCCAGCTTCTCCTCGGCGGAGGACAGCTTTCCTCCCCTGCTCCTCTTGAGCTCCTGCACACAACACAAGCTCTCAGTCAATCTCAAAGTATGATCATCAACACTAGATGATCAAAAAGCTGGTGCACGGACAGAGAGAGACAGATGTGACAGAGAGAAGAGAGTTGGGGTGGGAATCATCCTGGTTTTATTTAACCATTATTTTCATTTCACTGCCGATTAAAAGATTTTCTTCTTCAGTATTTTGGTCTCGTTTTCTATTACAAATATCTCAACATTCTTAAATCAAGATACATTTACTTGAGATGCAAAATGACTTAAGATATTGAGTTTTGTTTTCTGAAAAATGAATCAAAATGAAATGAGTTTATGCATAAAATAATACAAAAATATCTACTAAAATCGACTTAATTCAAAGGGGAAACTATTCTTTTTCGTACCCCATTGGCAGATGTTTTCGATGCGGCATAAACTCACTCACTTTTGATACATTTTTCAGAAAACAAGACATTTTTCCTCTTAAAGTAGTATCTTGATGTAAGAATTTTTCAATATTTCTAATGAAAAACAAGACAAAAATACCAAGTAAGAAAATATTTTTTGCAGTGTTTGACGAAGCAAACCCCCAACCATATGCTAAACAAAACATTACTATATTACAATATCCATGACTACACACTGCAATTATGAATTTATGAATTATGATTCTTGAGTGAACGAGTCATTTGAATTACACTGGTCATGCCGCATGTTGTTGCATGCAACCGGCGGGGAAAGACGTGAGAGACAGACGTGAAAGAAGAAAGACAGATGTGATAGTCAGGATGACTCTTACAGAATCTGCACTGTTTTTCAATCACAGCATCTGGACACTTGAGAGGAGAGTGATAAAAGAAGAGAAGAAGGGAAAAGACAGGGAAGAGAAGGAAACGAAGTGTAAATTAGATTTAAATCAACAAACCAATTTTTTTTTTTATTTGCCTCTTGATTGAAAAGAACATTATTTCAATTTGCAGCTAGGTGTTCATTGCACATGACACATCTCAATTCAGCAATGTAAATCAGTGTACTGGTGCGGTAACAGATCTACATGACCAAACCTACTTGTGCTGAATCACCCTGAGCTTTTAGCATAAATCATATATTTTGAGCAGGAAAGCTGCAATAAGAACTCATTTCAAATACCTTGTTTTATAGCTGTCGTTTTAAGGAAATTAAATTAATATTATTATTAATTGAAACACATTTGTGCATCATGTCAAAACAGGGTCATATTAAAAGATCTCAGCCTGACACTATAATCTAATATATAAAATAACAACTATCGAGATGTCAGAAAACAAAAAATTGTTTATTACAAATAAGTCAGAAATAACAGTTACTTTAGCATCACTGAGTTTATATATATAGCAATTTTGTTGTCTATATAGTTTTATTAATTTGATTTAGTTTTAGATATTTTAATAAATCAGGTTAATCTAGATTAAAACGACAATGCCTTTGCAACTAGCTGAAATAAAAAAAAGTTTATGGAATAAAATATGTTTAAATAGAAAATAAACATATATATGCATGTATATAAGTTAACATTCTTTCATTTATTTATTTAATGGTTTTTGTTTTAGTTTATTATAATATCGCTGGTGTGAACATTGTTTATTTTCAGTGTTCCTGTATGGAAATAAAATGGAAACAATAAGAAAGGCAGAAACTGCTAAAAGAAATCAAACAACACAGATCTCAATCATCCTAGAGAAAAGAGACACTAGTTAACAATACATAAGTTAAACAGATGGAAGAGTAACTAATTAACACTATATGACATTAAATACAGTACCTCTGCTGATTGTGTATACTGTATGAGTGTTTATACAGACCTATAATGGTTAATAATGCTTTGTTAATGTAAAGCTTTTGTTTTCGCCAGATTCCAAAGCTTTTATGGAACCTGAATTAAATACTGTATTATTTGCTAACGCTAACCTGGATTTAAAACTGACATCAGCTGTACAGACTGATCACACAGATGTTATACAGATGTTTACATGCTGAAAACTAGCCTCTCTGCTAACAGCACACACAAACCCTCTCCGCCATTAAACTGCACGTCAAAAAACATCATATTCACTCTGGTATTCATTTATAAACACCCTGAAATAAACAAGTTGGATAATAAAAGCTGTCAACTTACAGTCCATGACATTTCTCAGCTGAAATCGCCTTTCTGTTTGCTAGACTGTCACTGAGCGTCGGTGTTGTTGAGCTCAGACTGGTAACCAGGAGAGCCGCTGACCAATCACAGCGCGTCCTCTGAACGCAGACCCCGCCCCTACACGACTGCAGTAGGCTTGTAACTGACCAATCACAGCACGCCGGTGAAAAACCGGCCCGCCCACACAGTGGTGCTGTCCAATCACAACACGCAAACACATTAGAAGACCCGCCCACACGGCTGAGGGCAACGTAAAGTATGATGAACATTAATTTTTTACTGTGTTCTTGGATAGACTTTACATTGGATGTAACGCCAAAGTTTCATAAAACAATATTATTAAAAATATTGAACCCTAACTAAAAAACTAAATCACAAATATATTTTATTATCTCTATTAATAGTTATCAGACCAGTATTAAGTATTTGTCTGTTGTTGCATATTTGTATATTAAAAATAGGAAAATTTCTGTCGTGCATTACTTTATGAACAATGCGATTTTTATAATAAGCATACGCTTGTGTTTTCTTTAAAATAGTGTAAAAGACGTTCAGAAATATTCTCTGATCAACCTCACAGACTAAACAAGTCGATTGCAAGAATATTAAAAGGATGCCGCCTCAAAGAACGCAAATAAAGAGCTAAAGTTTGCCTTTGTTCAGGGAAGAACGATGGTGTCAACTAGAATTGAATCAATTTTTAACCATCTTTGAAATGTTGAAAATACCACAGAATCCATCAAATCCATTGATAACTGTGTTTGTTGTTTTCCCTCCAAAGTGATGTCACTTCCTTTTGTTATTTAAATAGATTTTACAAAAGACTAACAGGATGGAAATATCAAGGACACAGAAAAAAAATCTATGAATTAATTACCAAATAAAAGAATATTCCAGAAATAACATGTTTGATTAGTGGAAAGTAAAATGAGGAAACGCTTGTAATATTTCGTAATAAATTGCCAGATTTCAGTTAAACGTTGACATCCATTCAAACTTAAAGGAGTGAAGGTCAGTAAAATACATCCAAATTGTACATTTTTAACTGATATACTGAGATAAAAGAAAAATAATAGTATTTCCACCTTCAAAACAATTTAGTTTAACATTGTACCCCATATATTAAGACATGCATGATAATACACTGCATAGTACTAATTTAAAAAATGATGCTTTGTTATGGTAACTAAATGTCAGAGATCAAAAAGTGAATCATTATTTTTAAAAAACATAAAAAGACACACTAAAATCCAATGTTCAACACATTTTTATTCATTATAAACTGTATCATTTATATAAAACCAGACACACAAGATGAAATGAAATCACTTTGAATTAAAATAAAATAATGTAAACTGTAAAAGAAAAGAAAAAGCTCACAGCAGACATCCAACTGCAAATTAATCTGCGTTTCCCCACACACACAAACACACACACCTGACCGTTGAGAATACATGAGTGAATAGCAGAATGAATGAATGCATCAGAAGGGACATTGGACAATGATAAGAAGAAAATAAGAGCAGGGAAGCACATGAGAAGTGAGGCTGAGGCTTCGGTACACCAATCACTGCCGTCTGATGTTGAACAGAAGCAGGTTTACCAACACACACACACTCCTCAGCCGACAGAAGCCCAAACATAACCGTTCAAAACAGCAGTTATGCTGCCATATGCATGTGTGGGTTTCTTTAGTGCATAAGTGTGTGTGTGTGTGTGTGTGTGTGTGTGTGTGTGAGTGAGAGTGAGAGAGAGTGAGAGAGAGAGAGAGAGAGAGAGAGAGAGAGAGAGAGAGAGTGTGAGAGAGAGAGAGAGAGAGAGAGAGTGTGAGAGAGAGAGAGAGAGAGAGAGAGAGAGAGAGAGAGAGAGAGAGAGTGTGAATGTGTGCGTGTGAGTGTATGTGTGAGTTGTTGTGTGAGTGTGTGTGTCTCTGTGTGCGTGTATGTGTGAGTTGTTGTGTGTGTGTGTGTGTGTGTGTGTGCGTGCGTGTGAGTGTATGTGTGAGTTGTTGTGTGAGTGTGTGTGTCTCTGTGTGTGTGTGAGTGTGAGTGCGAGTGTGTGTGTTTCTGTGAGTGTGTGTGTGTGTGTTCAAACTCGGTAGGCAGCTGACAGAATTCCCTTTTCTTTGGCGTGCAGGTGAATCCCAAAATATTAGCGAGAAGAAACCGCTCTGGATGAAATGTGAATTTTAAAACAAATTAAATGAACAACAGCAATAACTTAAATAAAAGTGCTTAAAAAAACAATTCGTTTGGAGCCCTTTCATTAAAACAAAAGTCAAGAGAGCGCACTGGGATGCCAATGCAATAAGACCAAAAATTTCATAACAATATCTAGAATCCGGATGGAGAGTGACGGGCTCAGAATCTCCTCCACACACACACACGCGTCATCGTCCAGAATTCACCACCATCCCAAAAAACATCCGCCTCAAGGTCCCGGCCACACGAACGAGGCGTCACAGTCCACGGGAGGATCCGTCTCGCACCCCTCGAGCGCTCGTTCTCTGCGCCGCCTCTCCGTCTCCCACTCCACGAACGAGTCGAAGAGGCTGGGCCAGGCCTCGTCCTCGCTGTAGTTGCTGAGGTCCTGCCCGATGCTCTGCGTGAAGTTCAGAAACATGTTCCAGGTGTCGCGGGATATGCCGCGCACGGCGCACGGGTTGTCCGAGAGGAAGTCGAGCCAGCGCTCCAGCACCGGGGGCGAGTCCAGCGTGAAGACGAGCCGCCACAGGGCGATGGCGATGGAGCGCTGGAGGGAGCGCTGGCCCTGCTCCGCGTCCAGCCCGAACTGGAAGGTGAACCGGTACAGATCTTTGAAACTCTCCTCTCCTCGAGACTCCTCTAGCAGCACGGAGAACCGAGAGCAGATTCCCGGGATACTGTCGGCCTGGATCGCCTTACAGCCGTCCACAAACTCCCTCCTGAGACACACACACACACACACAAAACACACTGGGATTTGACATTCCAACTGAGAATGAGGACGCAAAAAAATGTTATTTGAATTTAGGTAAGAGTGAGATTTATGTTAGTACCATAGATAATAGATCATTTTGTGAATTCGTTATTTTGTATTTTCCATTTTCATTTTAGTTTTTGTCTTGTTTTTTTTTTTTATCAGTTATTGTTGTTATCATTTTAGTACATCAAGTTAAACTAAATAAAAATGAGAAATGCTGCTTTGGAAACTCGCTGAAATATATTTTTAATGGTTTTAGTTAACTAGAACAACTTTGATTCATAGAACTGCTATAGGTGTAGTTTTTAATTATACATTACATTTTTTCCAGTATGAATTGCCTATAAACATGTTTTACATACAACCAGAAACACCAGATGATTATTAATAATCATTGTTTAAACGGTTTAAACGTTTGGGATCACCAAGGCTGCAATTATTTGATCAAAAATACCATAAAAACAGTAATATTTTGAAATATTATATTATTCCTGTGATCAAAGCTGAATTTTCAGCATCATTACTCCAGTCTTCAGTGTCACATGATCCTTCAGAAATCACTCTAATATGATGATAATAAAAAACTGTTTTTGTGGAAACCGTGACGCATTTATTTCAGGATTCTTTGAAGAATAGAAAGTTCAAAAGAACAGCATTTATGTGAAATAGAAATCTAAATTAATGTCTTTACTGTCACTTTTTTCTTAGGGGCCTCAAACTTTTAAATGGTAGTGTGTATAATTCTTTTTCAAATTAATTATTTATTTTATAAACCATAGTGGAAGAAGCATTTGTTGACTTTTGACCCACAAACGGAAGTAGCGAGAGATCTTATCTTCTGTATTGTGACGTATATCCAAGTGAAATAGATTATAAAAAAAGAGTAACATGTCGGAGGCGGAGTCATGGACTTGAGTCTGCGCATGAGTTGGACCTGAATGAAAGCATGCAGTCTGTTGTAAGAACAAACGGACAAATTTATTGGAGAAGTTTGGCATATGTAAACAGATCGAATCAATTGGTCAAAATTTTAAGAAAATTAAACATGCGTGGATGAATTGTTCACAATAAGAACTAAAAACATGCATTTACAAAATAGGGTGAATTTTCATTTCATGCTGAGTGAAATATGTGCAAAAGACCCTGACAAACACACAGCTGCGCATGGTGTCATTGCAACACTTTGACGAGATGAAGCAATCTTTGCAAGTGTGTGTGTGTGTGTTTGTGGAGGAACTGCAGTGACTAATGATCTCTCACCAGTGTAACATCTGCGCCCGCAGACACCACTGCTATTCAACAATAAAACTGTGAAAACATCTCTCTTTATTGCTGAAATTCACATTTTTGCCTCTTACCCTTATAATACCCACAATGCTGTGCTGTAGAACTCTGTGGCGGTTCAGAATGCAATCTGCTTCGACCATATCTTACAAATGTGTAATTTGGCAAATACCATCCAGTTATCATGACTTAAATAATTACGACGATAATTCAATTTTGACTGTTAAACAATGAAAGAACGGTTACAAATGATGATTTATGTCTTTTGTTGCACATTAAATAGAAGGTCAATCTGTGAGCATTGCATTTTGGTATACAATAATCAATTACACAGCATGAATACTGAATGATTCGCAAATTAGCATAAAGCACACACAAAAACAAATGTGCTTCACCTGCCATTTTGGATGGATTTTCTTGTGAAGCAGTGCATTCTGGGATTGTCTTCTCAAAGTTTGGGGTCAGTAAGTGACAGTAGCCATGTTTCCATCCACTTGTCAATCGAATTATCTGAAGTTCGGTAAACAACCTCATGTGAATAAAGCTGGTGAAAGTGTGTTTCCATCAAACGGCTGTAAAGCGGATAAAAACCTGTGCGTAATGACGTCACATGCTGTTTTGCGTTCAAATTGGTATATCGAATTGATTTGAGACATGTTAAAGCTCCAGTCCGTAACTTTTCCTCTTTGTCGCCATCTGTCTGTTCAAAATCTGTAACTGCAGTGATTCGCGGAATTATCATCTTTACGTGGGTTGTAAATCGGCATGAAACAGCGCGGATGAACACAGTGCTTTGAGGCGAGTGCTGCTGTCAGTCACGCGCTGTGTGGATACTGTCATACAGAATCACAGATTCACTTTTTGGAAAGTTTGACCAACATAAGAATTTTCATAAGAAAATGTCTTCTAAACAAGTAAGTAACATCCATTTTTGTTCTGACCAACTAAGGGGGAAAAAGCATTCGACATGATAAGCTTCGTTAGATTTAATCAACGCGATTTACAGCAACCGTGCAAATTATAGCCTACTTTGTTCTCAAATTGTTCATGTTAACAACATCAGCATTGCGTGACTAATGTTAAATTTAATGTGTTTTATGGTTACCTGTGTAGTTCAGAATTCATATTCTCCATATAGCAAAACGAGAAAGGCACAAGGAAACTCCATAACTGTGTGAATTAAGAAAACGTACTGTTACACGATTGAACTATTGAAATGTCTTACTTGTTCAGCAGAAAAAAGCCGTCTCTTCTTCTGTTTTGAACCCCTTCAAAACACGGAGTTCACGCACTTTTCAAAAGCCCCGCCGATGTTTAAATCCTTGTGTTCGCATGAGACGGTTTCTTCCTCTTTCTCTAGCCACCTTAAATCCGAAGTACGAAGTCTTTTGGGTTTTATAACTGCTGAATCTCCAGTTGACACTGATGATTGTTGTTTGGATCTTTCTGGATGCCATGAGTTTAATAATGTAAAGTGCTGCGAGAAAAGCCTATACATCTACACATATCGTCACGCGCAGTATAGCCGGCTAGCCGAAACTCCTTCTTTATGTGTACGGGTGTGACGTCATGACGCAAAAACATGCTCGAATTTCCCGCGGAAACCCACCAGTACCACTGGAATTAAAATCATTATTACAAGCTAACCGTTTTGAATCTAGCTATGGCAAGCAGATAGTTTTGACCACTGGCAGAATAAGTTTTTTTTAATATAATTATTTTGGATTATTTTTAACTTAAAAAAGTTACGGACTGGAGCTTTAAGGTGTTTCCATTCATTTTCTCACCGAATTGCACAACATTCAAGCCAACAAAGTTTTACTAGGCAAAATGGATCGCACCATAATAACGTTTCCATCCGCGTTTATCGCATAAGCCGTATATCGATCAAGATAAAATCCGATGAGACCGATCGTATTTCATTTGAGTCGATATTCATGAACTTCAATCGAATTTTACTGTTTCCATAAGGCATTTTTCATTCGAGATCACTTAATGCGGATAAAAAACGTGTGGATGGAAACATAGCTAGTGACAGCAAGGACATTTATAATGTTACCAAAATATATCAGTTTCCAAAAAAATATGTTTTCAACATTGATAATAATCAGAAATGTTTCTTGAGCAGCAAATCATCATATTAGAGTGATTTCTGAAGGATCATGTGACACTGAAGACTGGAGTAATGATGCTGACAATTCAGCTTTGATCACAGGAATAAATTAGAGTTTACAATACATTACAATAGAAAACGCTTATTTTAAATTATAATAATATTCCACAATATTACTGTATTTTTGATGAGATAAATGCAGCCATGGTGAGCAGAAGAGACTTCCCGGTAGTGTCTCTTAACCTTGTCTGCATGTTGTCAAACTCACCTTGTAAACTTGCACATGGTAGCGGCCTGGAACTTCCACGCCAGCACCAGAACCCTGAACTCGGCCGGATCGACGCACAGGTCGTTGCAGAAGCGCTCCATCCCCTCCTCCAGGATGGCGTCCTCGTGCTCGTCCTTATAACACAAGAACATGTCGTGTATCCGAGCGAGCGACACGCCGTCCCCGTCCTGCATGGGCTGGTCCCGCCGCACGTCCAGCGCCGAGAGCGTCGGCGCCACGCTGCCCTCCACGGTGACCTCTTTGGTGCCGTTGTAAATGACGTCGACAGAAGACTTGGCGACATCATCCTTGTGCGCGCCGCCAGTGCCGCCTTTCTTTCCGTGAGATTTCCCGGCGTCGCTTTTACTGCCCAGAGAGGACGTGGGGTTTTTGCATTTAGTCACACACTGACCCATGTCGCTCTCGTTCTCGTGTTGGTCTCCCTCGTCCTGTTTCGGAGGTCTTCCTTCAGGTCCAGGCGACCCCTGCTAGACGCCCACTGGCTGACGGACAGCAGTCACCATGCCCTGAAGAGTCAGATCAAACCAGTCACTTTAAAGCATCACTCAAATATAAAGGGTCACACTTTAGATCAGGGTCCAATTCTCACTATTAACTACGACTATTACGGCTTATTAATAGTTAGTAAGGTAGTTGTTAAGTTTAGGTATTGTGTGATTAAGGGATGTAGAATAAGCTCATGCAGAATAAAGGCATAAACATGTGCTAATAAACAGCCAATATTCTAGTAATATGCATGCTAATAAGCAGCTATTGGAGCCTAAACTAAAGTGTTGCCATATTAAGTATTTTAACCGGCTTGTTTTTTGTCTGCTTTTTCTTTGAAGTAATTTTGTTTGCATTTTTGTGCCTATAATACTCTTCTGTTTATGTTTACTAAAATATCCTTTACATGATGCTTTCATATTTTTTATGTTTCTTCCCATTAGGCATCAATATAGGATGCATCTACAGTATCCACCTTCATGCTTGAATAGTGTCTATTTTAATTTGTTGGCATAAAAAAATCTGTTGTCCTATACTAGTTATCTCATGCACATATAGGCTATCATACATATACACAAAATGCAAATGGCTCTCTTTTAAACAAATGAAAATGCTAATTGTGGGGAATATACATTCATATCACAGTCAATGCTTTTGTAAGTGAGAACAGGGTCCCATTGAAAAACCTCATTTGGAATCAGCTTTTCCTAAACAAATCCATATGGTCATTATACCATTGTTTTACTAGTTGTAGGTATGTGTATTTATATCATTCTTTTTAGTTCTTCTCTTATTCTTCTTACCATCGACCTGGCAGGGCCTGCAGATGTTACATTTACATGATGGATACACACAAGTGCTCATGTCAGTTAATGTGCATTGTTCCTTAACAAATTAAAACATAAACATAAAGCATCACTGTAATATTAAGTATAGAGTCAATTATGATTTCATGCTCACATTAATGTAATATGAATTCAAATCCAACTGGTCTTTCTGAGGGTAAATGTCAAAGATTCTCACAAGCCTTTTCGTCCCACTTCCAAAGAACAATGACTATCTGTATCTGTATTGCACGTACATCGTTCCTCTTTCCAAGTCCACAAATACAAAGTTCCCTAGATGAACCTGAGCCTCACTTCCTTCCACACATCTCACTGTGGTCAACACTCCCTAGACTGCTTTCCTAACTTGTGAATTTCCTTTATCATTTTAAAGGCAAACCTGAAGAACCAAATATTGAATCATCATGTGCGCAGATTTCTCATTTCCTCTGAACAAAGAAAGCCAGTTAAACAGTGTGCTAAATTGCGCCCTGCCAGTGAATCAGAGTATGGGCAGGACATTAACTAACCAGTGTGGTGAGTCCGTTCACTGTGGTTGTTGAACTGGTAATCAGAGAGCTTTAATTGAGCGATTCTCGCAGTCAGAGGGCGAGTCTGGCGCTCCTCCTGCATTCTGATTGGCCACAGAGACAGATCATAATGACATTAACAAACGTACCTAAAAACTGTGTTACTAGGCCGGGACGAGTGACACAGACCAGGCTAAACGTCGAGGGATCCGATCTGAAGTTCTTAGAATAACCGTTTGTGCTGTTTGCAAGAGCTCTACGATGACTTTGAGGAATGAGAACAATGTGTGTTCATAAAAAAAAAATATATATCATAATTCAAATGTGGGCTTCTTTGTTTCTGGGCTTTGTTTATGTGTTCAATATTACACTAAATCCAGGATGTCTCTCTTCTGATTTATTTTCTCATGCAGTGAAACAGTTTGCTTATGGGGACAATTCAAACTAATTTAAAATGAACAATAAACTTTAATGTGTCAAATATGAATTAGTGCCATAATTAGCCATGAGAGGAATACAATATTCAAAGGCCTCATTTTTTTTGTGCTATTTTATCGATTTATAACCTTTGCCTACCAACGTCCTTCAGCTCTGACAATCTATTGTATATATATATATATATATATATATATATATATATATATATGTGTGTATATACCATACAAATAGAATATATGATATAATATATATATATATAGATAGTAGAATATTTCTTTTATATTAAGAATTTTAAGAGCGATCATTTGCAAAATTATAAAGTAGAATATTTACTTCAAATTAACAAAAAAAAATAATATATATATATATATTATGGCAACACTTGTAATGCACCTCTAATGCACAGTTATAATATATTATAAAACATATCTATTCTTTAGAAAGTATAATGCATTAAAACAAGGAATCTGCAAATATAATAATGCATTTTACCTTTGGTAATATATAAAAAATTATATAAATAAATACAATGTAAAATCAATATTAAGTAAATATTAAGATTTCAAAAAAAAAAATTATATATATATATATATATATATAATATGAATGAAACAATATTTGCAAAATTATAAAGTAGAATATTTGTATTTATTTTACTTATTATAGTTATATTTATTTTTTTATTTTACAAAGGATCTATTTCACAGATAAAGAACATTGATATACTTGACATGCAGCGGCGTGAGTGGTTATTATATAATACAAATATATTTTTAAATATTTAAATCTAGTATCACCCTCCCGCTTGTGACATGTACATTAACAGCTGGCCTCTATGGATGCTGTGCGATGATAAACACTGGAACGCTGTATCGACCAATCAGCATCCAGGAGCAACACCACCTGCTTTATATTGAACGCTGAGGACTCTGGGATGAGACTGCGTGTGTTTGTGGCAATCAGGACAGGCTCAGAGCGACTACATCACCATGGATCAGGAACACGCGTGTTGTGCAGTGGTACGGGACACACTCACCCAAATCCCCGAGCAGTGAAGCGACGTGTCATCTGAGGAAACTCCATGGAGACGGCCGGAACATCCGCTTGCCTGAGGCGGAAAGCACAGCAAAAGTGACAGAGCGATCAGAATATGATACGGCGCACAGAAACACACCATCTAAACCATCTACACACAACAATCCTCCGAGACACTTTCACACACCTGATCCTCATGCTCTAACTAACAAACTAACTAACCCACAACACAATACCCATGAGCTAACCTAAATAAAACAGGCTAAATCGGAGCTGGGTTACATTAGAGGTGTTGGATTGCAGATGTGACCAGTGCCACGATTAAATGACATATAACCTGAAAGGGGTCATCGTCATAGCAACATACACCTGATGGGGGAAAAGGTCATGGACAAGGCCATAAACAAATTCACAGGTTAATAATCAGCAAGAACCCCAATTTACTTCCATTATGTGATGCATTTACTAGTATAACAGGATGTTCAATTAATTTATTGGATGGTGAATGTAAGTAACATGGCAATTGGATATTTACTGACGTGCTTTAAGACATATCATGGGACTGAAAGATTAGCATATTAATTTACCAAAGTATTTACATGCCGCTCCAAATTACTCAAAGGAATACCATGGAACCAGAAACACACTAATAGCACAGGGAGGGGTTTTCAATCTTTTAGACGCCACGGACCCCCACACTAAAATTTAAAAGCAATCTATATAGTTTCTGGAGGAAAGACCCAATTTATAATGTAAAGAATTAATATTATAAATATGTCTAAAATATTATTTGGAAAATGTCTAGTTTCTGTTAAGCTATTTTATGTTGTTTTCTCTACTCATTATAGTACTGTACTGTTATTTACTCATTTTAATATATTGTTATTCATTTAAATCTCGTTTTAGTTATTTAATCTTTTTCTGGTACTAAGGTAGGCTACTTCAAAGAATATCATGGTTAAACCACTGTAAAACATTGTAGTACCATGGTACTTCTTTGTTAGGTGAAGATAACTCAGGTTTAATGTCAATCCATGTCAATTTTATGATATTAAATGTCATTTCCTCTAACAAAATCTCTGTTATATATTATATAGACAGATGTTTTCTACATAGGCAGCATTTTGAGCATCTAAAATATTTGTGGGGCATCCATTTAATATATTTAAGGCATCATAAGCGATATTTGATCCCAATAATGCTGTTTAACAAAGTCGCTCACTAGATTTGAGCCACAGCCAAGAGTCTCTATCAGTATAAATGAGAAACTTTCCCTTTAAAATTATGATGAACTGTCCATATATACAGCAAATACACTCCATATCCTCCCTAAACGAGCTCTACACAGTTATACTAATAGTTCTGATATATTAATATACGACTGTTTGTGAGTAATGAAACACTCAATATGACAGTTAAAGTCTTTTAAAGAGCTGATCTCATGTTAGCAGCTTAGCTGGTTAGCTTCAGATAAGTGTGGATCATTTATACACAATACACTTCATGTAAACTATAAAATGTGTAAATCCTGGACATAAACACAGCGGATATCTGAACGGAAGGTGTTTGGTGTTGATTTACCTGTGGAAAGATGATGAAATAGCTCCGAATCAGCGCATCCCTGCTGTCATGCTAAAGCTAAAGCTAATCCCACTCTCCAGCCGAACCGGATCGGTTCTGAATCTCTGTGTAAAAGCAGGAGAAAGGGCTTCTCTTTGTGTGCTTCTGATACACTTTGGGTCATTAGATGATCATAGTTGACATTTCCCCCCGCATCACTTCCTACAGACTCGAAACTGAACCTGAATCCGAACCGAACCTGCGCTGATCCGGACCGGCTCCAGTAAAACCACCCCCTTTACCGGCTCCCACTCCTTTGGACCGTTTCTGGGGGGACGGAGATGATCCTGAGGGACTCGATACGGCCGCACGGAACCAGAGAAACGCGGATCGGCCGCTGATTGATCGCAGTTTCTCTTTTCGTTTGGGTTCGAGGGAGTATGCGTAAAAGGGACGCAGCCGTAACTGGCGCAAACATCTCTCATATATACGAATGCGCAACATGGGAGCGTTCCGGACTAGTTTGAAACAAAATTCCCCGCAGTTCGAGACGTCATCACTCGCAAGCACGTGGACGCTGGAGTGCGGAAGTGCGGAGATGTTCACATAAGCTGTATTGATCTGATCACACATAGGTAAGTTAATATTTATATCTTCAGGAAGTAGAGATAATGAGCGCAGCTAGATTATTAATGCATTAAACGGAAGACTGTAACAATTATAATGTATGTCAAGGATATTGCAAATCTCTTATTAACAGCCATCTAGTTTACCTAACAGTAACACAGAGGTCACGCACAGATTTGTTTTTATAACGTTTTGTACGCTTGATTCTATTTAATACTGAACATTAATGATTATTTCAACATAAATATGCAGCATGATAATTAATTAAAATAATACATATTCATATATCATGCTAATTAACATGCTGCTGATTATATATGAATATAATTGGCGAAATTATATATATATATACATATGTGTGTGTATATATTAATGCTATCAAATCGATTAATCGCATGATTAGCATCTAACAAGCTTTTTTACATAATGTGTGTACATGTATATGTGTGTACATACACGTGTATGCAAATATATATAGACACACACATATAAACAAACTTGTTAGATGCACCTAATCGATTTGACAGCACTAATACACTGTATATATATATACACACACTGATTAATAATTTATTTGTATGTATATATATGTTCATTATTGTTATAAATAGTGGGGACTTACACCACAAGTAAAAGTACAAAATACTTGTATGTATTTCTAAGGTGAAATAATGCCCTTGTCAAGTTCTTCTAACATGTATAGTATTGTTGTGTTAGTTCATGTTGACAGGTGTCCGGATGTCTCGTCCACATGTGCTGTCTCTCTACAGGAGGGTCCTGCGCGTGGCACGCAGTTGGAAAGCTCAGTCTGCTCTTCCTCAGGACACCGACGCCGAGGGGAAATATATCGCTCAGGAGGCTCGGACCCTCTTCAGACAGAACCAGCAGGTGTGGACCGACCTCATGTCTCCTGAGGACCTGCTGTGAGAGAGCTCATATCTAGAACATGTTCTTATATCTTCTCCCTGTCATAGATAACAGATCAGGAATCAATCCAGAGATGCATTGAAGAGTGTGAAGCTCGGATAGAGATCGGTCTGTATATTATATCAAATGCTTCATTTATGAGCTGAGAAATAATTCATGTAATTTTTAAGACATTTTTGGGTGTTATCAAACAACAGGTGATCTGCTAAAATGATTTTTATTTTGTTTTTCATGGCAGGACTGCATTATAGGAACCCCTATCCCAGACCAGTAAGTACCTCCAAATAAAATCATATGCACTAATAATAATACTGCTATATTTGTGAATAGAATGGTGATCTCATTAAGAAATGTCTTTATATATATCCCAAAATGTGTATTAATATAATGCAAAAAATATATATATTTTTTTAAATTTGGGGTGAAATATGAATTGGTCATGTTCTTGGCATTTTACAAAGGTTTAGGTCTGTATTTATGACCACTATGTATTACTTCACATTTCTTTAGGTTCTGAAATATGACTTGGAAATGTTTCCAGGCAGTTTTTGTGAGATTTACACACTAAAATGTCATAAATCTTTTTTCTCAGACATATCTTCCACCGATGGGTCTGGCCACTCAGAAAGGTAGAAAGCTGAAAGCTCAGCAGAGACTGCGGAAACAAGCCAAACCTGTGTACCTACAGTCTCAGGATGAGACCTGACACACTAACAGACGTCTTCAAGTGTGCAGGATATTGTGTTGAAAAACACCAGGGAACATCATAAAGTTTGACAGTTCATGTTGTCCATAGCTTAAAAAGACTGCATTATGAAACCGATCAGTGCAATTACTCTCACTGCCAGTGTAAAGCACGGTGAATGCTAATGTGAGCTGTTTTGATTATGTTAAAAGGTGTATTTATTTTGTTGTTATATACTACATTGTATAAAGGTCTCAGTGAATGTTGCATTCTAAGTATCTAGCTGCGTTTCAATTCGTTTATTTCTCATCATTCATTAAACTTTTGAGTTTTAACTAGAAATGGCTTCTGCACATCTAATCAGCAAGTCACCATGAAATGGAAATTGCCCTATTGTGACGTATATCTACGGAAGCGTATTGCATTCACTTGAGGAAAAAAAAATCTCCTGTTTTCCGAATTAACGAGTTAATTATCGCAGAATTACGAGATAATTTTTCATGGGAAAAAGTTTTTGCTCTGTTTTTCTGAATTAATGACTTGTCTCAAAATAGTAACTCATTAATTCAGAAAAACAGAGTAGATTTTTTTTCCTCAAGTGAATGCAATACGCTTCCGTATATATCTGAGTGAAATGGCTTCTCGAACAAGACAAAATGTTGATTAATGCTGGGTACACACCAAAAGATAATTGCGCTGATTTTGGGCCTATTTTCCCCCTTCCGACAATCCTAGCTATGTCCCGATTATCTTGATGGTTCTACAGATTATCTTATCAGATTTTCCCTTGGTGTGAGGTGTGTTAAGAGTGTCCGAACCTGCTCGGAAGAACGTCGGAGCCGCCCCGATCGCGAATCGTAAATATTCAACATGTTGAATCAGAAATCCTGATGTGTGGGGGGAACCCCGATGACAAACGTGCGCACGCTCTGGAGATTATCACGTGAAACGAAACAATATCCAATCAGAAAGCGAGATGATGGAAGACGGAAGCATAACAAACGCAGTCATGGTGTTGCAAAAAGTTAAATTGATGTGGACAGCAGAGATGGAGGATCAGCTTGTTGATTTGTGGCAACAGCACGAATGTTTTTCTGTGAAAATCATTCCAAACACTATCATCGCAATTTCTTCCTGCATATCGTCCGCCAAGCTTATTCTGAAGTCTCGCGAGATTTTGTGAGATTTCCTTTGTTCACAGTCGAGACTCTGGTTGAAAATCTGTTCATGTGTGGTGTGCTGTCTTTGTCACATCATGGCACACCACACACTATAGGAGCAAAACGCTTAAATCTAGGATTTTTTGTCCTCATGTTTGTGGTCTATCACATTTTGAAAATCTTATAAGATGTAAAAAATCTTTTGGTGTACCCAGCATTAGTGCATGGGGAATTGATTGGCTGGTTGTGGTTTGCTATTGGTGGATCTCATGTGACTGACAGGTTGCTCCGCCCTCACGCCAATAAACACGTCATCAGAGAAGCGATGTTGTTGCAAGAGGGAGGGGAAGTTATTTTGATTAAGGATTAAAAGGGACATGAATTTAAAAACAATGCACAGATAAATAATTTATAATAAATGCTGCAAAAAAAACAAGAATTGTCCATTTTGATTACATGCCGACTTTAACGTCTAAAGAATTACACAATACTGCTTTAAGCCATTTTGTTTAATTATTCCATACAATTATATTAAAAGGAACCACAATATGCTAAATATTTTTGGGGTTTTCATATGTTTGGCATGTTAAAATGTAAGCACACTGAAACCTGTAGTGGATGCGCTCAGTTGTCGAGTTGGCACAGGCAGGCGACGCCGCGGTTGATCCAGTGTTTCTGGGGCTTGTCCGAGGGCAGCTCGATGGACAGAACGTAGTTCGTGGAGTGACCAGTGGTGGAAAGAGTCCCACGCCTGGCGCTGGTCTTGTACACGGGACAGATGTAAACGCTCTCGTGCAGGAAAGTTGCGCTCTCTCCGGGCTTCAGCCAGATTATGGGCAGCGGGTCGAAGAGAACTTTAGGAACAGACTCACCGATAACCATGTGCTCCCGATCCCAGCGCGCTCCCTCGAGGAAAAGCCCACGGACGTACGCCCCATCCTCCGGCTTCTCCTCCATGTGAGTTTCCTGCTTACAGACCTAAAAGAGATGCACATTATGATACACACCACTGGTCATAAATTATTTTTTTCAATAGAAATGTATACTTTCAATTAGCAAGGACTCATGAAATTGACCAAAATTTACAGTAAATACATTTACAGTGTTGCAAAATATTTGTTGACTTTGACTTAGTTTAAAAAAAAATGAAGCAGCACAACTGTTTTCAACATTGATAATAATCAGAAATGTTTCTCGAGCAGCAAATCATCATATTAGAGTGATTTCTGAAGATCATGTGACTCTGAAGACTGGAGTAATGATGCTGAAAATACAGCTTTGATCACAGGAATAAATGAAATTTTACAATATATTCACATAGAAATTAGTCATTTAAAATTGTAATAACATTGACATTCTAAACTCAAAGAAAAAGTATTTTTGGTATATTCAGCTGCAAACAATGTTTAAGAAACATTTATTTATTAAAGGACAAGTTCGGTATTTTACACTTAAAGCCCTGTTTTAAGATCGTTTCTGATGAAATAGAACGGTTAAGATTGAAATTTGGACACATGCTGCTGGCCCGAGAAATTTCAGTTTCTGTGGGAGCACCCCCCCCCCCCCCCCCCCCCCCCCCCCCCCACCTCCACAATGGTTGCATAGGTGCACTGGAACAATCCTTCATAAAACGCATTAAACTTTCATTTACAAAGACGTGAAACTCACCGAGTGGTCAGGGGTGTTCACTGACATACTCACACAAAAATCGCTGCAAAAGATGCTTTCCAACAGGTTTTATCGTAGTTTTTGTCCAAAGTCAAGTCAACCACTCGGTGAGTTTCACGTCTTTGTAAACTAAAGTTTAATGCGTTTTATGAAGGATTGTTCCAGTGCACCTATGCAACCATTGTGGAGGTGGGGGGGTGCAACCACAGAAACCAAAAGCATGTGTCCAGCAGCATGTATCTAAATTTTAATCTTCAATCTAAAATCTAAATCTAAATTTCAATCTAAAAATTTCATCAGAAACGATCTTAAAACAGGGCTTTAAGTGTAAAATACCAAACTTGTCCTTTAAGCGCAGATCACGTCTTTCTCATACGCTCTCAGTTTACTCTCTTATTGGCACACAAACCTCATACTCAAAGCCGATGTAGTCGATGGGGATGGTGTACTTTCGAGCGAAATTCTGAGACACACCAGTGAGGAACGACTGAGTGAAATAGAACGCAGATACCCAGAACACAGATGGAGGGCCGTTATCAATCCAGTCCTAAAACACACACACACAAAGATGGCTGAAAAATTAGAAACCAATTGGTGAGTAGTGCTAAATTGTCCTAGGTAGTGCACAACTGGTTTCAATAATCTCAGAGCACACATTGGCTGACCTATGTATATGTACTTGTTACACCTAGTGCAGCTACAAGAACAGAGTGTGTATAGTGTGTATCACACACTACAAGAACAGAGCCTCTGCTTAAAAAAACAAAAACAAAAAAAACTTTTTCTTATAGCTTCATGCATTATTTTTTTACCAACACTTAATTATGTGTAAGTTTCATAAAAATAAAACATTTTGAGCAAAAAGCAGAGAAAATTATGTTTTTTCCTAAGACTACAATGTGCATAAGCAATACTTTCATCACTTGTTTCTGCTCCGTGTTTGCCTGTGTTTTGATCAGGAGATTCTGTACTCTTTCAGAAGATGCCTAATAGCGCCCCCTACCGCATAACACTGAAAACACCTAAAGCTGCAAAATTCTGACAATGGCGAACGTGAACTGAACGTACTGTATTCCTGCCTGATGAACTCTACTGTGAACTCGTTCATTCTGGTGTCTGTGAACGCACGCTCTCTCAATTTAACTTCGTTCAATAGGGTGCCAGATTTCTATAGAGCCTTCCAGGCGAAAACCCGGCTAAAACACACCGTAAACAGGCTTAATTAAAACTTAATATGTAGCGGAAAAAACACTGGCAACACAAGCCACCAGTGTCGCACCGCCGCATGCGTCATCAAAACAAAAAGCAGCATGTGGTCGACAAAGCATCGAGGAGGCGTCCTATGATCATTGAAACGAGTTTTATGACAAGGTCGGTGAGGATGAGAAAAATCTTACATTTCTGTGCAAACTTTGCCCGCCGATAAAATAATTGCTGTAAGTGGTTGTATATGGGCTGTGGCAATAATAATAATAATAATAAAAAAAAAATATCGCGCAGCAACATATGGAAAAAAAGAACTATGAACTAGTTCATTTTAGGAACTTGTGAACTTAGTTCAAAATTGTGAAGTATAAACTATGAACTGAACTAGTTAATTTTAAAATTTGTGAACTGAACTTTGAACTAGTTCATGTAGAAAGTGAACTTTCCCAACACTGGTTAATATAGTTAACTAAAACCATAAAAAAACAGTTTCATTGCTTGAAATAAAATAAACATTATCTGAAGTAAAATATAAAAAAAATCTTTTTATTTCAGCTAGTTGTTTCAAAACAAAACAACTAAAATCAGTTTAAAATCAAAATGAAAACAGAAAAAATATAACAATAAAACCATCTCAAAATATTAATTACAACTATAATATAACTGTATCTTATTGTTACTGAAATAACATTGATGACTACACTATAAAAAAATCTAAACTGTACATAAAACAAGGATTATTGGAGTATGTTTTACAAGAAAATACTATTTCAGTTGTTTTATGTAATTATTTCTGAGTGAAGATTGTTTCTACACCACATCTTTTCAGTGCAGGTTCACCATTTCATAACAATTCACATCATTAAAGGAACACGAGCTTGTGTCTTGTTGTGTGCATTTGCCTTTAGCCGTTGGACTTGCTCACCTGTAGAAACTGCAGCCTGGCAAGGAAGTCGGACATGTAGCTTCCGAGGGGTTTAAGGGAAGGGTAGGACTTCGCGGCCCATGTGGCCGGCACTTTCCCAACGAGAAGACTGTTGAAGACGTTCTCCAGCTCAGCTGACATCACAACCTGCCCCCGAAGTGCCTTCTGGGTGTTCAGCAGGCTGCTACGCACTACCTTTGACAGCCTATAAATGTACATGAATGCATTTGGCAGATGCTTACATCCAAAGCAACTTATATTCCATTCATGGTATACATTTGATGAGTTCATGCATTTCCTGGGGATCAAACCCACAACCTTGGCATTGCTAGCTCTACAGCAGGAATGTTATGATGCATGTAAATCAATGTACGTGACGAATA